CTCCCAGCAACAGAAACAGACTGTAAAGTGGGTGTGTGGGGTCTCTCACAATGCTTTTGAGCTCTAAGCACATAGCACTTATAAACAGTATCCTGAATAATGAGAAGCGAGTTTCCTGTTATCTTCTCCGCTGTCCTCACCACTCTCTGTAGGGACTTTCTGTCTGAGGCACTGCTGCCACCAAGCCCAAACAGTGATGCAGTTTGTTAAAACGCTCTCCATCGTGCCTCTGTAAAAAAAAAAAAAACAGCCAGGACAGAAGGAGAAAGATGTGCTCTCCTCATCCGAAGGTGAAGGCAATATCAGAGTGGGAAGCCCCACGAAACCAGAAGGCAACGGCAGAGCTTCTTGGGACTTCGCCAACTTCTGCCGGCCGTTCATCCCTCCCGCAAAAGAGCCCCGCCCATCACCGAGCTACTAAAAATGAGATGAGGAGGGGTGCAGCCCAAACTGAGCCAGTTGCTCGATCGGACTATGGCAGTGATGGCGAACCTTTTTGTTGTGCATGCACCCTGCCCCCCGCCGCACATGTGCGCACAACACCCCCCGCCCCACCCCCTTACCTGCGCTGCACATGCATGTGCCTCCCAGCAGATTTTCGGCCCGTTTGAGGCCGTTTTTGCCCTCCTGGAGGCTCGAGGGAAGCCTTTGCAGCCTCGGGAGGCCGAAAAATGGGCCTTCTGGAAATACCAGAAGTGCCGAAACGGGCCCATTTTTTGGCCTGCAGAGGCTGCAGAGGCTTCCCTCGAGCCTCCAGGAGGGTGAGAACGGCCTCAAACAGGCCGGGAAAAAAACAGCCGGGAGGCGTGCGCATGCGCAGTGCAGGTAAGTTTGGCTGGGGCTCCCCTGCCCGCACCAATGGCTCTGCGTGCTACCTGTGTGGCATGCGTGCCATAGATTCGCCATCACAGGACTATGGAATGTCAAGTGGCTTTCCAAAAGCTCAAAACGGCTCTTTGTGGAGGAACCGACCCTCCAACGCTTAAACCTAGAAGAGCCCTTTGTAATGCAGGCTGACGCTAGCGACGTAGCAGTGGGGGGCCGTCCAGTGGTGGGATTCAGCCGGTTCACACCAGTTCAGATGAACCGTTTGTTAAATCACTCCCCCCCACTCCCCTTCTATCCAAGTGGATCCTAGGTGTTGCGCTGCGCTGCAGTGGAGAAACGGGCAGCGGAGTGACCGATGTCACTCTTTCTTTTCCCTGCTCCTCGTCCTCCTCTCGTGCCAGCCACTCCTTTTCCCGTTTCTCCATTTTCACCACGGTGCCCCAGGATCCACTTGGATAGCAGGGGGTGGGGGTGATTTAACCACTGATTCGCCCAAGGTCAGGTTAGCTGTCGCGGAAGGCTGGTCCCGCATGTGCGGTGGAGCTGGAAGACGGGGGATTGGCCATGCCTCCTACGAAGGCCAACCTGACCCTTGGGCGAGCCGGTGGTTAAATCATTTGTATGCCACCCCTGGGGCCGTCCTGCTCCAGAGGACTGCGGAGGGGAGAAGCTCCTACCCCTGCGCTTACTACACCTCCTGGAAGCTGACCGACACTGAAAGATGTCGGGCGCTGTGGGAAAAGGAGGCTTATTTTATTTATTTATTTATTTATTTATTTGATTTGCCAATTGTTTACAAGATAATAAGTATAAGTGTATACATAGTTGTGAATACATGAAATGGGTACATATAAGAAAAATAAAAGAAGAATAAGAGAAACAATAGGACAGGGATGGTAGGCAACGTTGGTGCGCTTATGCATGCCCCCTACAGACCTCTTAGGAAAGGGGTGAGGTCAATAGTAGACAGTCTAAGGTTAAAGTTTTTGGGGTTTGGGGAAGAAACTACAGAGTCGGGTAGAGTATTCCAGACATTGACCACTCTGTTGCTGAAGTCGTATTTCCTGCAATCAAGTTTGGTGCGGTTTACTTTGAATTTGTATCTATTGTGTGCTCTTGTGTTGTTATGGTTGAAGCTGAAGTATTCATTGACAGGTAGGACATTGCAATGTATGATTTTATATACCATGCTTAAATCAGACCGAAGACGGCGTAATTCAAGGTTTTCTAGTTCTAGAATTTATGTGTTTCGATGGGCGCTGCTGACCTGGAGGCACTTTTTAGAGGGCAGCCCAGAGGTCAAATCCCGCCCTCAGGGTCATTCCCCTGCTGTGCACATTCGATCAATGGCTGCTGGCAAGATTGCTGCAGTTGTAAACCTTGGGGGCAGTGGGAAAATAGAGCGGCATCGATTGGGGCTGTCCAACTCATCAGTCCCAGCCAAGGCAAGGAGGCAAAGATGGGATTGGAAATAAATTTCCCCTGAATAAAAAAAAAACACCAGCCCTGCGGTGCGTGACCAACACGACAGGGTTCAATAGAAGCCAGAGGAATGTGGACTGTGAGGTGTTTCCTCTTTTCAAGCCATGTTTCTCACAAATCTAACACTTAAGGCTTCAGCTCCCATCATTCCCAGCCTGGTTCTAATCGATCCAAGGTGCACAAGGTGGCAGCAGGTGGCAGGAGGGCTGTAAAAATCGGGGTTCAGCTAGCCAGTTCCCCCAGCCAACATCCATGGATTTCAACTCCCAGAATTCCTCAGCTAGCATTTGTGGATTTTAGAGAGCCTCCATGGCGCAGGGGTTGGAGTGCAGTACTGCAAGATATTCCTACTGCAATTTGGCAGTTCGAATCCCACCAGGCTCAAGGTTGATTCAGCCTTCTGTCCTTCTGAGGAGGGTAAAATGAGGACCCCAATTGTTGGGGGCAATATGCTGACTCTGTAAACAGCTTAGAGCGGGCTATAAAGCACTGTGAAGCGGTATATAAGTCTAAGTGCTATTGCTAGTGCTATTTCAGCTTCCAGACTGCTTCAGTCAACGTGTGGACTTCAACTCCCAGAATTAACACAGAGTATTAACAGAATAACGGAGCTGGAAGGAACCTTGGAGGTCTTCTAGTCCAACCCCCTGGAAACTCTTATGCCACAGGTCTTCAACCTTGGCAAGTTTAAGATTTGTGGACTTCAACTCCCAGAATTCCTGAGCTAACGTGACTGGAGGAGGAATTCTGGGAGTTGAAGTCCACAAGTCTTACAGCTGTCAAGTTTGAAGACCCCTGCTCTATGCCATGTCAGACTAAAGCTAGCATTGCAAAAAAATTGAAATCCACACTTCAACAAATTGCCAAATTTGGAAAACATGATCACTGAGGAATTCTGGTAGTTGAAGTCCACATGTTGACTGAGGAATTCTGAAAGGTGAAGTCCAAAAATGCAGGCTAAGGAATGCTGGGAGTTGAAGTCCATAAATGCTGGCTGCAGAATTCTGGGATTTTAAACCCACCAATGCTGGCTGGGGAATTCTGGGAGTCGAAGTCCCCACATCCCGTTTCCGAAAGTGACCAATGAGATCATTCAATCAGGATATAAAGGTAAAAACCTTGTCCCATCATGGTTCCATCAAACAAACTGATAAAACCTTTGGCGCCCTTCAACATTTCAATCCGCCTTTTCTTTCCAGAATGAAACCCATCCAGCTCCTTGCAAATCAGCCAGCTTGTCTCCGGTTTCCGAAATACTCACCCCCCGACCCGGCCCGAGTTACATGCCTCAGATTGCAAAACCATCCACCACCGATGTTATCAGTGAGTCATTGATTTAATTTCCCAGTTCCTGCTTGAGCAATTTCTGCCAGTCTCTGTATATCAATCTTGCTGTTTGCCAAGGTCATCTGAATAATGCTGGCATTTGCTGTACCCTGAGCTGGGTACATTTTTGTAAATAGAATGGAATGGAATGGAATGGAATGGAATGGAATAGAATAGAATAGAATAGAATAGAATAGAATAGAATAGAATAGAATAGAATTCTTTATTGGCCAAGTGTGATTGGACACACAAGGAATTTGTCTTGATGCAAATGCTCTCAGTGTACATAAAAAGAAAAGATACATTTGTTAAGAGTCAAGAATCATCAGGTCCAACACTTAATGATAGTCATAGGGTACAATAAGCAATCAAATCATACTAGGAAACAGTCAATATAAATCGTAAGTATACAAGCGACAAAGTTACTGTCATACAGTCACAATGGGTGATAAGGAATGATGAGAAGATTAACAGTAATACTAGTGCAGGCTTTGTAAATAGTTGGACAGTGTTGAGGGAATTATTTGTTTAGCAGAGTGATGGCTTTCGGGGAGAAAAACTGTCCTTATGTCCAGTTGCTCTGGTGTGCAGGGCTCTATAGCCTCGTTTTGAGGGAAGGAGTTGAAACAGTTTATGTCCGGGATGTGAGGGGTCTGTAAATATTTTCACAGCCCTCTTTTTGACTCGTGTAATATACAGTTCCTCAATCGAAGGCAGGTGGGAAAAAACTGTTTAGTGACCAAAGTTACAAGGGCACTGAAAAAACGACTGAGGACCATTTTTCACACTTACAACCGTTATGGCATCGCCCGTGCTTAACACGATCGAAATTCAGATGCTTGGCTCATATTTATGACAGTTGCAGTGCTTCCCTTTTGCGAACTGCTGACAAGCGACAGTCGATGGGGAAAGCTGGATTCACTTCACAACTTGATGTCAACTCATAAAACATCTCTATGGTCTTTTTAGAGTTGCCAACAGAAAGGGAGGGGGGAGCAGTGCAGCAGCTTGGAAACTGAAAGTGCATTCCATAAATACTTTTTCAAAGATAGTAAACTAGGTGACTGAAGTTTCTGCTGTGCAAAATTCTAACTGGAGAGGATGATTGATGACTCTGGGCTATGGATGTGTCCCATTGGAGGATATGAATTAGGATACAGCCAGGGGGTGGAGGGGGGAAACCAGGGTCAAGGGTGACAATGAATGATGTGTCTCAGAGTTGGCTACATCCAGGCAGTGCTGGAGATGTTAACTCCCAATAAATGCTTTTGAAGTTTTGGAAATTTGGCCCGAGATTCATGATTTAATGAGGGTAGCTGCCGGAATCCTGACACTGTGTTCCTAACTGAGCAACTGCAGTGATTAACATGCATGGCAAGAAAGATCGTAAAATGGGGCAAAAACCCACTTAACAACTGTCTCGCTTAGCAACTGAAGTTTTGGGCTCGATGGTGGACGTTGGTCGGGGGACTACTTGTATTCTGTTAAGCTGAAAGGAACAAACCTCTTTTTTCTTCTCTCTCCCTCCCTCCCTCCCTCCCTCTCTTTCTCTCTCTCTCTCTCTCTCTCTCTCTCTAAAACAGCCTTGCGGAGTCCACTCAATTCTTTCACCAGCCATTTTGGTTCGTCCTTTGGGGTGATACCTCACCCTACCCTCAATGGGGAATTGGCTGCACCGAGTTCCTACATCAGTATCCATCTTTCTGCAGGCCCCGGAATCTACGGACGGTCTCCCTTGGTGAGCATCATCAGTGCTTCCGAATTGGGGTTTGTTTGTTTTTTAAAAAAGGGGGGGAGATTAAGATGAAACCAAGTTAGGTCAAATTATAAGCCATCATTCATCTGCGAGAAGAAAAAAAAACCCAGCCAGTGGCCATCTCCCAGTCCAGAGGTAGCAGGTGTTGTGGCCTATCAGCAACCGAATCAGAGGAGGAGGAGGTGGCGTGGGAGTCAGGGCCAGCCTCAAGGCAATCTAAGAGCTCGGAGGGGAAAGAGGGAATGGAGCTGTCAGAGAGAGAGAGAAAGAGAGAGAGAGAGAGAGAGAGATGGAGGTGGAGCCTGAGCCGTCCGTCAGCCCTCAGATGGAGAGTCAACAGCTCCTAGGTCTGGAGGTGGCTGATGAGGAAGAGGAGGAACAGCCGAGTCCAGTGCCTGACATGAGGATACGCAGAAGGCAGAGGAGAGGAGAGTAGTGGAAATCAATGGGACGGTCCTTGGGACAGAAGAGCCACCTCTGCTAGCGAAGCCCCACCCTAGCTCTGGGGATGAAAGGAAGCGGGAGGAGATGAACGTTTTGTTAACTACAGAGGGCTTGTCGTGTTTGGGAGCCAGGTGTCTCTGAATAATGTGCTAAAAACAGTTATTTCTCAACCTTGGGCAATTTTAAGACGTGGACTTCAACTCCCAGAATTCCCCAGCCGGCATGGGGGAGTACTTGATGATCTTTATTGGCCCCTTCCCCACGAGAAGGGGATGGACTTGATGATTCTTATTGTTCCCTTCAACTTTATCATTCCCAAAACAGGGGAGAGGTAGCAGGCATCTCAAAACAAGGACTAGCAGGGGGCGACTGGGGAATTCTGGGAATTGAAGTCCACAAGTCTTTGAGTTGCCAAGGCCCTTCGGCACGAGGAGGGGGTGGACTGGATGATCTCTCTTGTTTCCTTCAACTTTACAACACAGAGACAGGGAGGTAGCAGGTGTCTCTCAGAAGAATGGCTAACGGAGCTTGACTGGGGGATTCTGGGCCTTGAAGTCTACCCAGTGGTGAAATGCTACCGGTTTGGGGCGGTTCATCTGAACCTGTAATAAAAAGAAGTGCTCCGATGAAGCACAGGATCAAATCAAATCAAATCAAATCAAATCAAAACAAACAAACAAACAAACAAACAAACAAACAAATAAATAAATAAATAAATAAATAATAAATAGGATCGGTCCTCCCAGCCGCCCCTGCGCTTTTCTCTTCTTTTTTCCTCTCAGCTGATTGGCGCAGCAGAGCCTCAGCTGGTGTTTGGAAAGCTGTGTGTGTGTGAGGTGCGCACGCCCACGTGCAAAGTGCACAATCCCTGAATCAGTAGGGAAACTCGTAGAACCCCACCCATGAGTCCACCCATCTTAAAGTGGCCAAGTTTGAGAAAACACTGTGATAAGTCATCCAACCGAGGCCTTTGCTCCTTCTTTTAGGGAAGACACAAGGCCCTAGCCCTCATGGTTTTGAGAGTATTAATCCATTTCATTGATGCCTCTTGTCTTTCTACTTTGGTGAGCATTCGAGTCGGCCGAGGGGACGAATTAAAAAAGAACAGGGGACGTTGTATTGCAGTGGGTTGGTTCTTTGTCAATATATATGCAATTTTGTATTATTGTTTTTTCCCCATACTTCGCCCGTACTAGTCATTTCTACAACATCAAAGCTGTGCGTTCAACTGGAACACTTCCAAAGCTAAAACAGATTTTCATCACGAGTCCCAGCTGATCCCTGATTCCTTCCTTGGTTTCCACAGGTGGCTTTTGAATCTCACCCACATTTGCGGGGATCGCCCCCCTCGGCCTCCCTCCCTGCTATTTCCGGCAGCAAGCCGTAAGTCGGAGGTTTCCTGGTTGGAAGGAAAAAAATATATATATATGTGATTTTTCCTCAGGAGATTGCAAGCCTGGGCAGGATTTTATTTACCATATTTTTGGGAGTATAAGACACTCTGAAGTATAAGACGCACCTAGCTTTTGGAGAGGAAAACAGGAAAAAAAAAACTGCCTCTGGCTACCAACCATTTGCCTCCTTGCCAGCTAAATAGCAAAAAGGCGGCTTTAGCTTCAGCATAGCCTGATCAGCACAAGCAGCCGATTGTCGGTTGGATCAGTCTCCCGACGACCAGCTGTTTCAGGCTTCAGGCATTGCCATCGCCTATTGCTGCCTCCGCGTGCCCCATTTTCGTCCTCCGCATCCCATTTCTGGCCTCCGTATGCCTCATTTTCAGCCCGTTCTGGGCAGCGGGGATCGGAGCGGGCGGAAAACGGGGCACGTGGAGGCAGGAAATGGAGTGTGCGGAGGCCAAAAATGGGATGCGGGAGGCGGCAATAGGCCAATGGCAATGCCTGCAGCCTGAAACAGCTAATCGTGGGGAGGCCAAACCAACCGACAATCAGCTGCTTGTGCTAAATCGGGCTGTGCTGAAGCTGAAACAGGCTGTTTGCTGCAAGGAGGCAAATGGCTGGGAGGAAGACGCTGAAGGGTGAGGGGCCAGTGGGTGGGCGGGGCTTCAGCAATATTCGGTGTGTTAAGATGCACAGACATTTTCCACCAGTGGTGGGAGTCAAAATTTTTTTACTACCGGTTCTGTGGGCGTGGCTTGGTGGACATGGCAGGGGAAGGATATACTGTAAAATCTCCATTCCCTCCCTACCCGACTAACCTACTTTCCAGCTCTGTTCTCCTGTGCAGGGCAACCAAAGGAGACCCAGCCGATCAGCTGGGGCTCAATGGGAGGCAGAGAATAGATGGGGTTGGCGGGGCCAGTCAGAGGTGGGATTGGCCGGTTCTCCGAACTACTCCAAATTTCTGCTACCGGTTCTCCAGAACTGGTCAGAACCTGCTGAATACTCACCTCTGGTTTCCCACCCACTTTTGGGGGTGGAAAAAATGTGCCTTACACTCTGAAAAATACAGTATTTCCTTCTGTGCTTATTTCCACCTTGCCCACGTGTGACTCTCGATCTAGAAGAGTTACCCCCAATAAAAACAGAAAGGATTAAAGACATTAAAACATTAAAACAATAACATTGATTAACAATTGGAGATTTAGAATAGCCATCTCCAAAGCTTTTGGATCAGGCGAGCCTTTTATCAGTAAAACCAGAAAGGTAGTTCTTGGTTTATAACAGTTCATTTAGTGACCGTTCAAAGTTACAACGGCACTGAAAAAATGTGTGATTTATGACCACATTTCAAACTGAAGAACCTTGGCAGCCTCCCCATGGGTGACGTGATCAAAATTCAAGCGCTTAGCAACTGACTCATACTTATGACAGTTGCAATGTCTCGGAGTCCTGCGATCCCCTTTTGCGACCTTCTGACAAGGGGAAAGCCAGATTCCCTTCACCACTCACTTAACAACTGCCATGATTTCTTTAACAACCGTGGCAGGAAAGGTCATGAAATGGGGCAGCTGTCTCACTTAGCGACATACACCTTGGGCTCAATTGGTGATTGTATGTGCGAGGACTAGCTTGTAATAGCAGTTAATTCTCTGGTCCTAATAGGGCCTATTCCTTCCACGTCAGCGCTGACGGGCAGATGCAGCCGGTGCCCTTCCCTCCCGACGCCCTGATCGGCTCCGGCATCCCACGCCACGCCCGCCAGCTCCACACGCTCTCCCACGGCGAGGTGGTCTGTGCCGTCACCATCAGCAATTCCACCCAGCACGTCTACACGGGGGGCAAAGGCTGCGTCAAGGTCTGGGATGTGGGGCAGCCGGGCACCAAGACCCCCGTGGCCCAGCTGGACTGCCTGGTACGTACAAGGAAGACTCTTTCTACCCTGTTCCCAAAATCAGCCACTCTTGTTATCATTTGTACCATTCTTTTGCACGTCAGGGGCAGCCTATGGGTTGAAGATCCGGTGTTTTTTCCCTTTTCACCGGCCATAATTTTGTTCTCTCTGCCTTTGAGAAATTCTTTTTAAACCCCCTTCCTAAAAACCAACAACAAGAAGGAAGCTTCAGCCATCCACCCAAATCCTGAGTGATTGTGTGGTGGGATTCAAATAATTTAACAACCGGTTCTCTGCCCTAATGTCTGGCTGGGTAGGCATGGCTGGATTAACCACTTATTTAGTTACTTACTTACTTCTCTCCCTTCCTTCCTTCCTTCCTTCCTTCCTTCCTTCCTTCCTTCCTTCCTTCCTTCCTTCCTTCCTTCCTTCCTTCCTTTCCTCCTTCCCTCCTTCTCCTCCTTTCCATCTCCTGCCTTCCTTCCTTCCCTCCTTCTCCTCCTTTCCATCTCCTCCTTTCCTTCCTTCTTTCCTTCTTTCCTTCCTTCCTTCATTCTTTGGCCTGTTTTTCGGCCATTTCTGGGCTGTTTTCCAGGCCATTTTGGGGGGCTGTTTCTGGGTGTTCTTCGGGCCATTTGGGACTGTTTTCCGGGCCATTTTCTGGGCTGTTTTTGGCTCAGAAAATGGCCTGAAAATGGCCTGAAAATAGCCAAATAAAAAAAGCTCGGAAAATGGCCGAAAACTGGGCAGGCTGGGGCCAGCCAGTGGTGGGATTATCTGGTTCAAACTGGGCAGAATTTTAACAACTGGTTCGCCCGAACCGGTCTGAAACTGACTGAATCCCACCTCTGGATGTAACCTAGATTTGAGGAGAAATTCCAGACAGTGAGAACAATTAGTCTGTGAAACAACTTGCCACCAGAAGTTATGGGTGGTCCAATACTGGAGGCCTCTAAGAAGAGATTGGAGAGCTATTTCTCCAGAATGCCATAGCAATGTTTTTCAACCTTGACAGCTTGAAGATGTGTGGACTTCAATTCCCAGAATTCCCCAGACAGCATAGAATTCTGGGAGTTGAAATCCATCTTCAAGCCGCCAAGGTTGAGAAACACTGGTATAAGTTATCTTGCTCGAGCAGGGGGTTGGACTAGAAGACCTCCAAGGTCCGTTGCGACTTGGTTATTCTGTAAAATTAGCTTCCTCCAGTGCTTTCACTTCAAAAGAAAGCTTGCCCAAGTTTCTAGTCCTTAGCAGTGTAAAGATATTTCGAGCCAGGGGTGGGATTCAGCCGGTTTGGACCGGTTCGGGTGATCTGGATGTTAATGTTATGTCTGGTTTGGCGAACCTCAGCCCACCCCACCCAGGAATCTCCATGTTTTGGATGCGAGGTAAGTGCAGGGCCTGCGTGGAGACTCAGGGAGAGGGAAAAACGGGCCTCCCGGAAGATTCTGGAACTCCGAAAACGGCCCATTTCCGGCCTCCAGAGGGCCTCTGGAGCTCGGGGGGCAGCCATTTTTGCCCTCCTGGAGGCTCCAGGAAACCTTCCGGAGCCTGGGGAGAGCAAAAAAAAAGGCTTCCCAGAAGTTCTGGAAGTCTGCAAACGGGCCCATTTCCGGCCTCCAGGGGCGGCCATTTTGGGCCTCCCGGAGGCTCGAGGAGAGCCTTCATAGCCCAGGGAGAGTGAAAATGGCTCCCCGCTGACCAAGGTGCAGGAGGCCAGACTAGGCCGCTTTCACCCTGGCCGTGCCCACCCAGCAACCGGCAAGAGAACCAGTTGCTGAAATGTTTGAATCCCAGCCCTGTTTCGAAACCGCCTGATTTGAGAGATGCCAGGGGTTAGGAGGGTAGGAAGCCAGGTTGTGGGGTTTGTAGAACGGTTACATGTGGTAATAACATATATATTGCAAGTTACCCCTGAGAAAATGAAGAACAGAAGGGGTTCCATCTTTGTCCGAGATGTGACCTTTTTACAATGATTACTGGTTATATATAACAAATATGTACTGTTTTGTGACTTGTTATGTTCTAAATGACAAGTTTGTATTTTTTGGCATAATGATATGAGAAGGAGACGCTAAGTCATTCTGACCTGAATGGAACTGGTTAATGATCCATTGCATTCAGAAGGACCATAACAGGAAGATGCCATGAGAACAAGGGTAGTTTCCAAAGATAAGGAAACAGGTGTTATGCTATGGGTGTGGCATAGGGAGATAGGTAGTCGGATAGATTGTGAACCCAGGAAAGGGGCAGAGGCTGTATATTTGAACCTCTATACAAACCCCAGCCCTCCTGGGAAAAATGTCTTTTGCCATGAGCAGAAATCCCTTTTGCAAAAGCTTAATAATAAAGCTCTTCCTTATTGTTCACACGTCTCCAGCTGTATTTTGTGATTATTCTCACAATAACTTTCTGCCTTTCTCCCTCCCAGAACCGAGACAACTACATCCGATCCTGCAAGCTTCTTCCTGACAGCCGCAGCCTCATCGTTGGGGGCGAGGCCAGCACCTTGTCCATCTGGGACCTGGCGGCCCCCACGCCCCGGATCAAGGCCGAGCTGACCTCCTCCGCCCCGGCATGCTACGCCCTGGCCATCAGCCCTGACGCCAAAGTCTGCTTCTCCTGCTGCAGCGACGGCAACATCGTGGTCTGGGATCTGCAAAACCAAACCATGGTTAGGTGAGACCCATGATATCTAGTTTGGTGTTTGCCAAGATTGTTTTAGACATTCAGCGGCGGGACGCTAGTTGTGAACGCTGAGGAGGGAATGCGGGCAACCTTACCAGTAGTCCTTGACTTACGACCATTCGTTTACTGACCGTCTAAAGTTACAATGACACTGAAAAAAGTGACTTACCAGTTTTCACATAAGTAACCATTGCAGCATCTCTGTGGTCACGTGATCAAAATTCGGGCACTTGGCAACTGGCTCGTAGTTATGACGGTTGCAGTGTCTGGGGGTGTCACGTGATCCCCATTTGTGACCTTCCCAGCTGGCTTCCGACAAGGAAAGTCAATGGAGGATGCAAGATTTGCTTAACGACCCACATGAATCACTTAACAGCAATGATTCACTTAACAACTGAGGCATGAAAGGTCGTAAAATGGGGCAAAATTCAATTAATAAATATTTCACTTTTCCACAAAATGTTGGGCTCCATTGTGGTCGTAAGTCGAGGACTACCGGCATTATTCTCAGTTTTATTCTTCTGCTGACATTTATTCAAACCATACACTGTTTAAACCTGGTTTGTTCAGAAAACCACACTGGCTAAGCTTCTCCCAGCCCCAAAGCAAATACAGGGACTTCTCAACTTATATAACAGAGGCTGGAATTTCTGCCTTAAGTCACGATGGTTATAAATCGAGGGCAACCATGGGACCCACCTGATTTATAAACTAAGTTATTTATGAGAGTATTATCATCTTCTTTTAATAATCCCATGATCCCTTGGTGGAGTATGGTGCTGAGTGTTTACTGGCCGGATGCTCTTCCTGTCACCAGTGTGGAGCTTAGTACAGATTTATGAAATTATTGTGATTTAATAAAAATAAATGAGGAGTTCTTGCTGGTTTCTGCCTCCCTTGCAGACAGTTCCAGGGTCACACAGATGGGGCCAGTTGCATTGATATCTCCAATTATGGCACTAAACTTTGGACCGGCGGTTTGGACAACACCGTCCGGTGCTGGGACCTCCGCGAAGGCCGGCAGCTGCAGCAACACGACTTCAACTCCCAGGTCAGCTGGGGAAGGGGGTGGAGTCTTTTGATGGACGGCCTTTAAGTGGGTGGGCTCTCCGGTAGCAACCAATCAGCCCTGGGAAGGGGCAGGATCTTGGCGCACTGATATCAGACAAGCCGGTGATCCTCATTTAGCGATCACAATGGGACTGGCAACTCCGTCACTAAGTGGAAAAATCACATGACTTCAATGGATTTAACTATCTCATCTCCCGTTTGGTGGTGATGCAAATCATCGCAGTCTTTAACCAGGATATTATGTGACACACCCACATTCAAATTGCAATTTTTTTGCTTCCGCATTCTTCATGCATTGTGTTGATTAGCAGCCTGTTGTGATGCTTGCAAATGGCGATCACATGACTTCGGGATGCTGTGATTGGTGCAATTGCACAGACTGATTGCAAAGCTGTTTGATTTACACCATTGCAACTTCAAACGGTTGCTGAAGCAGACCGTCAGTAAGGGAGGTGTTGTGGTTCGCCGGCAGCCTGTGCAGACGACAGCAGAATCAGACAACGGAGAAGAACAGGGTCCAGTCTGGGAGTCTGTGGAGGACTCGGATGAGGGGTCCTGCATCCGATGCAGCGATGGGGCTAGGACCATTTGGGAGTGGGGTGCTGACTCCGGAGCCTCCGGAGTCTGGCAGCAGCGAGGCGGAGGAACAAGGGGAGCCTGTTCCCAGTGCGTGTGTGCACAGAGCTGCTAGAAGGCAAGAGCAGCTGAGACAAAAGGGGCGACTCGGGAATAAGGCTGGGAGGTGATTGCCCCTCCCCTAAGGGATAAAGGTAGTGCAAAGGTAGGAAAACCTTTGCAGGAAGCAACGTCGTTCGCTCTGATCGGTTTGGATTCTGAAAGCTCCATGGTGAATTTGTTCTCTGTTTGGTTTTGGAAAGACTAATTGGGACTTTAGACATTGGCAGCACCTCAAGTCAGATAAGGTGCATTCTTATCAGACGTCCCTGGGGCTAATTATAACTGGTTAAGACTCATTCCGGGCTGTGAATGATGATAATTCACAGCCATTGAACTAAAATAAAAGGGTTTTGGATTTTGTATGTGTTTGTTGGTGTCTCAGGAAGCCGTGGTCAGAACAGGAGGACTGCTATAATTGTAGGTAGTCCTCATTTAAGGACAGTAATTGGGACTGGGAATTCTGTTGTTAAGTGAGGCAATTGTATGTTGAAAAATCATGTGACCGTGCTGTTCATCGATGACCATTCTGACAGTCCTAGTGGCCATCGTTAAACAACGACCACGGGGGTCATTAATTGAGGACTTCATATTTCAACTTTCAACTTCCTACCAGCTTCCCCAGTGATCAAGGGCTGGATTCATGTAACCCATCAGTCACTCCCTTCTCCAAAATAAGCCAACTTCATTTAGCATGTGTAAGAGTGTAACCACTCGACTATGAATTAACCTAGTTTATGTAAATGAACCCTTTGCCTGCTGCTAACTTTGCAATCATGAGGACTAGAATCTTTGGCTGTGAATTTTGCTTCGTGTGTTTCAAATGCATCAGCCTGGCCCTCAAACCTTTTAAAGCTTTAATTTTTAACTATCCCCATCTATCTATCTATCTATCTATCTATCTATCTATCTATCTATCTATCTATCTATCTATCATCTATCTATCTATCTATCTATCTATCTTTCTTTCTTTCTTTCTTTCTT